GGATTTATCCTTCTTTTCAGGCTGAGAAGTTTACGGATTTCGTGACTTTTGTGATGAATGTTTTATTAAGAATACGTTTAGCATTTTTTTTTAATTTAGGAATTTCATTTTTTAAAAATGTCGTGTAAAGAAATTTATACATTTTGTATAATTTTGTAGGTTTATAAATTTTGAAGACATTTTTACTGAATGCATAAAGGTACGTAAGATTAAAACATTTTTGGAAGATATTATAGTAACAAATATTATTATATTACAACAAAGAGATCTTGTACAATAATCCAAATAAAAATTATACAATCTTTAAGAAATAATTAACAATTAAATATGAGCTATTAATATTGGAGTATATTGCAATTAAATATGATATATTAATATATTAAAATTCAGTGTGAAAATAGTACAAAAAAATCTTAACTAAAAATACAAAAAAAAATTAGAATAACCTATGATTAAAAATACTAATTTGAAGTTGGTAATGAATACAGTATAATAAATAAAAATATAGTATTACAGATATTTTAGAAGAGTGTTAAATTTGATAACATACTATAGAAAAGAGATTTTTACTAAATGAAACTTACGAACATCAATCATTGATCTGATAAAAATCACGAAATGAACCGTTCCAACGGTCATAATGCACACGGACGGGTTGAATTTGAACGCGGGAGAGGGATCAGACGCGGCTGAACAATAAAAGCGTTCTAACGAGGAGCGTTTCTCCGCTCTGCTAATCACGGGGATCGTAAAACCCGCGACGAAAATACTCTACACTGTTTCCTCTGCTGTTAAACGCATCCTGCATTGTCCTCGCCAGGGATTACATTAAATCTACACCTTTTTGTAATTAAAAAACATTCTCTTACTCTCTCTGAATGAATTTCCACCGTAATAACGTAATACATTCTTTATACAATTACACTTGTAATTTATTTTTTGTACTACTACATTAATTAGGTACTTTTCATATAACGTATGTAATATATTTTTCGTGTGATAACATGAATAATATTTTTTTTATATGAAAACTTCAAGAATATATTTTTTATGTAATAACATTAAGAATGTATTTTTCATATAATAACATTAAGGATATACTTTTGGTATAATAGCATGAATAATATATTTTTTATATAAGAACATTAAGAATATATTTTTCATATAGTAACATGAATAATATATTTTTTATATAAAAACATTAAGTATATATTTTTTTATGTAACAACATTAAGAATATACTTTTGATATAACAGCATGAATAATATATTTTTCATTTAAAAACATTGAGAATATATTTTTCATATAATAACATAGAGTATGTACTTTTGGTATAATAACATGAATAATATATTTTTTATATAAAAACATTAAGAATATATTTTTCATATAAGAGCATGAAGAATATACTTTTGATATAATAACATGAATAATATATTTTTTATATGAAAACATAAACAATATATTTTTTATATAATACCATAAAAAATATACTTTTCATATAGTAACATAAAGAACATACTTTTCATATAATAAAATAAGCAATATGTTTTTTACATAACAACATGAATACCTTCGATATAAAAACATAGATAATATACTTTTGATGTAACAAGATAAATAATATATTTTTAATAATATAACATGAATATACTTCTAATAGAATAACATAAACAATGTATCTTTGTTATACGAACATGATCAATATAATTTAGTATGTAACAACACAGACAACATATCTTTGGTACAAGAATACAGATACACCCACCACCTTGTAAAAAATATCCGAATTTAAAAAAATCAGTAAAAAAATTCTCAAATAAAATTACATTACAATTTCTCATATACAAACTACCCCCAAGAATCCTACCAACCCTACTTCAAAATTTTTGAACAAGCCTGTACAAACGTCGAACAAGAAAGCTCCTACCTCGTAGATCCCAGGTACAAGTTGAGGCTCTTCATCTCGTACACAGCACAGAATCCTACGAATCCCCGCTGCGCATCACGAGTCCTTGGCATCACCGTGTCACCGCGTATCATCACATGTCACACGAGCACACCGCGATAAAACATCCGACAATAACTCGCATCACCAACGAACCGTTGCCCGAATGATCGCGAGCTCATCGAAGATCCTTTAACCGAAGGACACTCCGGGATGTTTCTGGCCGGCTTCCAAGGATACCGATACCACTGCCACAAGTGGTTGCGTCCTGCCTAGCCAGACTTGCTACGTCTTCGTACACGTTGGCAAGGATTTCAAGGACTCCCTCGGATCACTCGATGGATCCCGTGGACGATGAACCTTCGATCATCGATCGAAGGGCACCACCCATCGTCCTAGCACGAAATCGAGGCCTTCATCGCGGACAGCAACAGCTGGATCGACAGGACGATTCTCTATGGATGTCCTTTCAGAACCAACGTTCACTCCTTCACGGGACAAGCAGGAGAACGCACTGCTCGAATGGTCGATCCTGGCTGATCCGATGATTGATGTCCTTTATCCTACTTTCCAGGATAAGGTTGACGCACAGGTTCGATCGTCGATCGAGTCGATCACGATCAGAGAGGGACGCTGCCGAGGCTTCTCGTCTCTGCTTCTGACAGGACACCGTCGGAGGTGGATTCTTCCAGGACACTGGTACTCGAGAAAACGCGTCGGAACGCGAGAGGAACATGCACACGCTCGGCAAGCAGCTCCTCGGGGCTGATTTCCTATTCAGCTGGCTATTGACTGTCATGCACCCAGTGTTACGCCGTTGGAACTAAAGTCAACGATACCACGCCTGCGTTCGAGTGGACGCTGACTGGCGTCGCGACGCCGGACAATGCGTTGCCAAGGCGCATGCCGCGCCGTTCACACCGGTCTCGCTCGATTTCAATGTGCCGAGGTGGCGGGAAATTTTAACTGTCTTCTAGGTTTAATCAACTATGATAACTGACTTCTGGAGTGGATAATGAGGATACGATACGATAGGGGTAGTTTTATGTAAGATGGTTATGGGAGATCAAACATGTATGACTTGTTCAAAAATGTTAAATATTCGAGGGCGATGTTTGTAGTCACGTGTTGAAAGTTTAATGAACTTTGTGATTTACTGTATTTGATGATGGGGGTAGTTTTTCGATTATATAAAATTAAATATGTAATTTCTTATTCAAAAATGTGAAATATTCTAGGGAGATGTTTATAGTAAACGTGTTAAAATTTTAATGAACTCTGTGATAATTTACTGTATTTGATGATGAAGGTTGTTTTTTGATTATGTAAAATTAAATATGTAATTTCTTGTTAAAAAATGTGAAATATTCTAGGGAGATGTTTATGGTAAACGTGTTGAAATTTTAATGAACTCTGTGATGACTTACTGTATTTGATGATGGGGGTAGTTTTTAAATTATGTAAAATTAAATATGTAATTTCTTGTTGAAAAATGTGAAATATTCTAGGGAGATGTTTATAGTAAACATGTTAGAATTTTAATGAACTCTGTGATGATTTACTGTACTTGATGATGAGGGTTGTTTTTTGGTTATGTAAAATTAAATATGTAATTTCTTGTTCAAAAATGTAAAATATTCTAGGACAATGTTTACAGCAAATGTATTGAAATTTTAATGAACTTTGTGATGATTTACTGTATTCAATGTTGGGGGTTGTTTTGTACTGAATCTAATAATAAGGGTTATTTTTCGATTAAGTAAAATTAAGCATCTAATGTCTCGTGTAAAAATGTGAAATACTCTGGGATATTTGTAGTATACCTGTTGAAAGTTTAATGAACTTTGTGATGACTTTGTGTATCTAATAATAGGGGTTGTTTTTCGATTATATAAAATTAAACGTGTAATGTAAAAAGGTGAAACTCTAGGGTGATGTTTGCATTACACGTGTTGAAAGTTTAATGAACATTGTAATAACTTGTTTGTGTGTTTAATAATAAGGGTTGTTCTGGGACTATGTGAAATTGGAAAGTAAATTGTGTGAGTATAAATAACACGAACGTGTGTATTTTTGAAATACGGTGGTAAGAGTGTAATGAACTTTGCAGTAATTAATGTACAAATATAGTAGGGGTGGTTTTGAATGACTGAAAGATGATAAATAATTGAGGAAGTAAGCTATATTGAGTGAGAACGTGTATGATTTAAAAATAAACTGAAAGCTTCAAGTTCTATGAGACTTAAAGGTATATTTATTGAATCTAATAAACTTTGTGTTAATTAGTTAATTAAATCAGGAGAGTAGTTTTAATCGATACTCTAAGCGAAATTAAATGAGTGAAATTTGAAAAATAAATCTGACTTCAGAAAATTTCTTTTTAAATAAAGTAATGACGAAGGTTAAACTGAAGTTCCAGCGACAAGATTATTTAGTGATGAAGTAAAATCGAAGAAGCGACTTGATTCAATTTGAGCCGTGATCAAGAAAATTCAAGGTCGCCGTTATTGAATTTACTTGCTAATCATACCTTAATCCCTCGACTTAATTAACTTCATCACCAATGAAATGATCTTGAAAAATTTTTACCCAATGAAATGATCTTGAAAAATAAAATTAATAAAATCGATAATGCAATGAGTTCTTGAAAGCATATAATTTACTAAATAACAAGTTGTTAATTGAAATAAATAAAACAAAATTATATTTAACTAAATCAATTTATTTATAATAATAAAGTAACAGTTTGTATAATTATTTGATATTTAAATATCAATGAAGAAATAATACAGTCGAAAGAAGTTAGTGGAAAGCATCAACGATGGCGCTCACGTTATGTCTGATGAAGCACAGTTCATACTACTAGTAGCCTTTATGGCGGGAAGTTTAAATCGAAATTCGTGCGATACAAACCCACACAAATGTAATTATTATGTTATTGAATAAATGTAATTAAATGTAGGATTCTCGATTAAGACAAACACTAAGTAATGTGTTATATAATAAGTATTACTAATCTATTTCCTTTGAAATGGTAATCTTGAAATAATATTTTGAATTAATTTTTATAAAATCCTTTTAGCTGTTTTCTGCAATTAATGGTCGAAATAGTTTATTATTTAATTTGACTTAAGTGAGATTTCCAATATATTAATTTTCCGTAACTTTTGGTAGAACTTCAGGAGTAATAAACTTTCACTCACCAGTTTGAGTACTGCTATCGAAAAATGTACTTGATGTTTCAACAGTCATCGTTGCAAATGTTCCGTCCGTAATTTGTGCAGAACTATCCCTTCGTCCTCTATATCTTTGAACCTGAACAAAAATTGAACACAATAATTTACTGCTTAATTTCATTTTTTCCAAATCTTGCTTCACAATTTTATAATTTTATGAGTAACATCTAAATATACCAATATCTAATAACTTATAATTATAACTGCAAATTTATGACTTTTACTTGTGTCTCTAAATTTCAAATTTATAAGTTCAAATATTTTTATGAACTTTTAAATTATAAATTCATAAAATTCAAAATCAAAATCATAAAATTTAAGAAATGTTAAATTTGAGAAACTAAATCTTCAAAGTTGCGAATTTATAAAAAATTGTGAATTTACAAAATGTTGATGCGAGAGAACTAACCGTTTCGTCGCTTTGAGAGCTCTGTCTCCGAAAATTTCGACACCTAATCATTTCCTCGGCAGTGCTCTGCCGTCGAAAACCTCGCGCTATGAAAATCTCATCCGTGGTCGACTGTCTTCTTATCGCGGGGGCGTGCGCGCAAGGAGAGGGACTCGGATCCCTCGAGGAACAGGAAGAACTATCTGGTGACCTGAAACATCAAATTTTTTTATGTCATTTTTTATAGTGTCATTGACAATTCTAGATTTTGACAAAATACTACAATCTTGGATTTTGACAAAGTATTGTAATCTGAGATTTTAACAAAATATTATAATCTTGAATCTTAACAAAATACTATAATTTTAAATTGTAACAAAACACTATAATCTTGAATTTTAACAAAATACCATAATCTTAGACTTCAAAAAAATTCCCTCAAATTATTTTACAAACTTTCCTTCCGTCGCGAACTACTTCCGAAACATTCATCTCCAAAGAGAACGACATTACCGACGCTAAAAATCGATAAAATGGCGGTACCTGGGAGGTGACCGACCAGCCATCGACGTGGACTGCCTTCTCAGCTGAGATTTCCGTTGCCTGATAGGACTAATATCCCTCTTATCGACCGTCCTGTCCGGACTCAGATGGCTCCTGGAATCGCGTCGTTTCGGATAGGAGGCAGAGTCAGGACTCAACGAATCCCTGCGAGCCTTGCGTCCTTCGAACATTCAACAAAATCTCACTATTTTTCGAACCATGCTTAAACAATATTATTCACATTCTACACATTTTTGTCAACGAAACATACATTTCTCTGAACAAAACATACACATTTTTCTGAACGAGACATACTACACTTAATGTCTCAGACATTTCTGTCGACCAAACACACAAAAGTTGATTTAAGAAACAGAAGAGAAAAATAGAAAGACAGGAAGTGGAGAGAGAGTGAATTGCGAATGAAGATAGACGTTGCTTATTTTCATATTTTCTTAGGGGATGTACATTCAGGGCGCAGTTGTAATTGTATTTGTAATTACAATCGTGGTTTATTTAATGCATGAAGTTTAATGGAGGTTGAAGTTTGTGATTGTACCTCCTTCATCAGGATCTGGTGACAGCGTTGGCTGACTTCCTCGCCGGCCTGTGGGTGGCATTGATTCGTCTATGGCAGCCGCTTGTCGTGTTAATCTCGAAAATTTATTTGGCGACGCCTCCTTTCCTTTGTAGTAACACTGCAACAAATTTTCTCACGTTAATCACATGATACATATATTTGACATATATTTCAGATATACAGTATAGTTTGTATACTTTGATAGATACATGTTTTGTTTAGGTTATTTAGGTTTGGGTTATCAATCTTCGGTGGTCATTTTTCATTCTTTTAGATTTTTGTAAATTACTGTTAGTTTATATTTATAGCATTTTTAAAGCATTCTTAGAACATTAGTTGACTCTTTATGTGACATTCAGAGAACGTTCTTAGAGCATCTTAGAACACTTATAGAACATCTTAGAACAAGTATGGAGCATCTTAGAACATCTTAGAGCGTGTAAGAGCATTTTAGAACATCTTAGAGTGTTCTTATGGTACTTGAATGACATTCACAAAATATTTTGAAGAACGTTCTTTTGAACTACGTTCTTAGAATAGTCTTAGAACATTCTTAGAACATTAGGACATTTGAGCATCTTAACACATGTGGAGCATCTTAGAGCACATGTGGAGCATATGTGGAGCATCTTAAAGCATTCTTACAGTATCTGAAGAACATTCATTCAACATTCTTAGAATAGTCTTAGAACATTCTTAGAACATTAGGACACTTGAGCATCTTAACACATGTGGAGCATCTCAACACATATGGAGCATCTTAGAGCACATGTGGAGCATATGTGGAGCATCTTAGAGCATTCTTACAGTATCTGAAGAACATTCATGAATTATTTTGAACGTCCTTAGAACGTTCTTAGAATATCCTCATAACATTCTTAGAACATTCTTAAAACTTGTAGAGCTTCTTAAAGTGCATATGAAGAATCTTAGACCACTTATAAAGCATCTTAGAAAGCTTGTAGGTCATCTTAGAGCACCTGTGGAGCATCTTAGACAATTCTTACAATATTTCAAAACCATTCATACATTTTAAAGGAGACAAACTAAACTTGCAATAACTCTGCAACTTTATACACCACAGTCTCCCAGAAAGACCGCCCACCCTCCAACAGCAACTCATCATCAAAACTTGCAATATATCAAGAGTCCACCCACAACTTTCTCGAGATCTCACCTGAGTGGTAGAGTCCCTCCTAGTCGTAAGCAACGGATGAGTCGGTGTGTTCACATTCGGCGAACCAACCGGACTAGAGCTACCGGAAGTAGAGGTTCCAGGAAGAGGAAGGTTACTAGCAGCTGTCGGCGATACAGACGGCGGTGTCACCGACGACATCACGATGGTAGGAGGAGTGATAGATGTCTCTAAAGTAAGATTCTTAGTTTCGGAAGTGGTTTTCGTGTCCACGGTCAACGTGGTGGACGTCGTGACCGTGGTTGTTGTCGTGATCGTAGACGTTTTGGAATCGGTGGTAGTCGTGATCATTATCTTTCCATCGATTTGCGGTGTGGTTGTTGTTGTTGTTGTTGTGGTTGGTGTAACCGTCTTCGTGTCCACCGTTTTTGCTTCGATGCTGCTCGATCGATCACTCTTATCCATCGAGTTACGAGTTTCGAGGTGATCTCTGAAACAATAGTGTTCTTTGTTTGGAAGCGTTCTCTGCATGAAATCTCTTCGGGGATAGACATTTATTGATGCTTTATCGATACTTGTAGCTTACAAAATGTCGGACAAGATTTTGTAAGATACATGTTAATATTTTATGGGTAAAGATAGTTTTTGTAAATGAGATACTTTTTGGGTGAATTATTAATTATTTTTTTTTTCGAACAAAATATTATTGTTTTATCAAATACTTCTTGTGGTTGAAGTATTAAAATTTTACAAGTTTTATTTTACATTTTTAATTGTTCTTAGAAGAAAAAAAATTCCTCACAGAATATTACGAGGTTAAATTTAAGAGCTATCAATTTTTAGTTATTTCTAACAATTACACAATTAAACTACTTTGAGTAATATGTTACGCTTTGAATACGCATGTAACAATTAGCAGTGTAATACAAAACGAAACCAATTCACCGCATCCAAAATGCAACAGAATCTCTCCTAAAATTAACAAGATTAAACCCCTTCAGTACTAATTAACCGCAATCAAGAACATATCGCTATTACAATCGGAATTAGAGATTCGAATTGAATCATTTACCTAACAGCATTGCTGGCTGTGCTGTCGGTGCTGGAGGCGCTCGGTCTTTGATCGTTCCTGTAATATTTTGTGGGCGTCACGCCGCTACCACTATCCACCGATTGTTGCGATTGTCTACGTCTATGATGACGGCAATTATGTTTCCGTTCTCCGGGACTTGGAGTCTGTCCAGCGATCACGGAATCCCGCCGAGATCTGGCGCTCTCGCTGGAACCTCGGCGAGAGTTCCTCGATTCTCCCGAATCTGCAACAAATTTTGTTACATGAAGTAGTCATTTTTACATGGAATTCAAGTCCAAAAATTATGAAATGATTTCTATAATTTTTCTCAAAGTTCTGAAATTTTAGATTCCCTTTCTGAAATTGAAAAGTTGAAGAAATGAAAACTTGATTGAGAACTGACAATTTGTTTAAAGTTCTCTAATTATCCAGACTCTAAGTAATTGCTAATTTTCTACATACATGTGTGCATATTAAACTTATATTTATTTGCTAAATATCGTACCGTAAATTAAATCAAAATTTCCGAGGAAACGTACGAAACACTGCCACGTACGAACAAATTATTACAGGGTCTAAAAGTTCGGTCGGTCGAACAACTTCCTCCACAAATCACGTCAGAAGCACACTTTTACTGTCTTGCCACGTTCAACTTTATTACGATATGACAAATACAAATTAAACGTGATTCTTTTAACTCAAAGGGCAGTGAAAAACAATTTAACAAAATTTTTGTTAATCTGAAGTTACCATAGAATTATTGATATTAATATTATTTTTAAAATGAACTTCAAAAAATTAGACAAATTAGCATAGATGCTATTTGAATTTCGTGTAGCTTACAGTACAAGATATGAGGTTTATAAAAATACATGTAAGGTTAAGTATAAACATATATGTTAAGTATGAACATATATGTTACATATGAACATATAAGCTTACATATGAACATATAAGCTTACATATAAACATATAAGCTTACATATGAACATATAAGCTTAAGTATGAACATATATGTTACATATGAACATACAAACTTAAGTATGAACATATATGTTACATATGAACATACAAGGTTAAGTATGAACACATATATTACATATGAACGTACAAGCTTAAGTATGAACACATATGTTACATATGAACATACAAGCTTAAGTATGAACATATATGTTACATATGAACATACAAGCTTAGGTATGAACACATATGTTATATATGAACATACAAGGTTAAGTATGAACATATATGTTACATATGAACATACAAGCTTAAGTATGAACACATATGTTACATATGAACATACAAGCTTAAGTATGAACACATATGTTACATATGAACATACAAGCTTAAGTATGAACACATATGTTACATATGAACATACAAGCTTAAGTATGAACACATATGTTACATATGAACATACAAGCTTAAGTATGAACACATATGTTACATATGAACATACAAGCTTAAGTATGAACACATATGTTACATATGAACATACAAGCTTAAGTATGAACACATATGTTACATATGAACATACAAGCTTAAGTATGAACACATATGTTACATATGAACATACAAGCTTAAGTATGAACATACATGTTACATATGAACATATAAACTTAACTATAAACATATAAGGTTTAAAAACGTACCTCTACGAGGGGTAGGTGAAATAACCGTAGGAGGTGGTTGAGCCTGAGGAGTCGCATCTTTCTTTCCCCACAATTTAGCGATATCATTCTTAAAATCGCTAATGGCGGAGTCTCTCCTCGATTTCGTCGACGCCTGACTTCTTATTCCGCTATCCACCGAACTCTCCCGTCTTTTCCGCAGCCTTTCAAGATGGCTGGCGTCCGTCGTGGTCTGCCTGGACCACGGTAACGATTTCGCGATATCGGCTAACGTTTCCCGACGACATAATTTGTTCCCGCGACTGCTCTTTCCGGATGTACCACCGCCGCCCCATTCCCTTAATATATCCGTCAGCTGAGCTAAACTGGACCGTCGACGACGTTGATTTGTCGGCGACGATTCCTGGGGCTCGTTAGGCGGCGATGTGGGTGTGATTTGTGTTGCCGAGTCGCGTCTTCCTGTTCCTGTGAGAGTTCTTTTTTTATGAATATTGCAGAGAAAAATATATGGGAGAGAGTATAATAACTAGGAGAATTTTGTGGTTGATTCAACAATAAGTCAAGGTTTACAAGGTTTATTAAGTTTCATAAGTAGTTGTTGAGTTGAAAATTTTGGTTTGAAAATGTCTTCGACAAAGATTTTTAGTTGGATAGTAAGGGTTCTTTTTTTTAAATTAGTGGGTGAACTTAAGTTTCTAGACTTAGTCTTCTAAGATCAAGAATAAAATAATAACAAATTTCCCTTCCACATTTACCCTCGACGTTCATTATCTACAACCCATGACTTTATTCCAAATGTACCTCAGCTACTACCCCTTGAAAGTTTATCCACCAGTACACTGTCCACCTGAACACCCTACATATGTAGATATCATCAACCCAGAAGTTGGTTTATGAGCAGGTTGACCCAGGTGTTTAAAAGAGCTAGGAGTCCAATTAGTCAGAACATAAAAATGACCACCTAGTCCCACATATTTTCAGTGGTAGAACTTGACTCGAGCAGCACATCTATTACATCAAAAACAAATCCTCAAACGTCTCCTATACATCGTAATTCTTATTTGCTGAAATCTAACGCTGCAAATGTTCTTTGAAGTGTAACCTTGAAATCACTATGGAGATAGAGTCTCCTTTAAGTCACCTAATGATAGAGATGAGTACTTACCCAAACGTTGCCTGAGAGTCGACTCCTCGACCTGTTCCCTCATAAGATCGTCCCAGCCATTGCCTCCTTGCCATTCCAAGCCGACCTGATGACTCAGGATCGGCAGGTTACACACGAAGCAGATCGCTGTCATGGTCCTGAAATCCAAACGCTTGGTCTCGGCTTGAGCAGACGATTACGAGCCGCCGATCTGTCATCGGCCAATAGATAAACAGATTGTGTGACTCAATTCGAAAAAGGGTGCAACGTGTCAACGATCAATTTAGGTGAATCGAGGCCATGCCAACAGAACACTCGAAAAGTCAAACGCACCATGTTACATATGAACATATAAACTTAACTATAAACATATAAGGTTTAAAAACGTACCTCTACGAGGGGTAGGTGAAATAACCGTAGGAGGTGGTTGAGCCTGAGGAGTCGCATCTTTCTTTCCCCACAATTTAGCGATATCATTCTTAAAATCGCTAATGGCGGAGTCTCTCCTCGATTTCGTCGACGCCTGACTTCTTATTCCGCTATCCACCGAACTCTCCCGTCTTTTCCGCAGCCTTTCAAGATGGCTGGCGTCCGTCGTGGTCTGCCTGGACCACGGTAACGATTTCGCGATATCGGCTAACGTTTCCCGACGACATAATTTGTTCCCGCGACTGCTCTTTCCGGATGTACCACCGCCGCCCCATTCCCTTAATATATCCGTCAGCTGAGCTAAACTGGACCGTCGACGACGTTGATTTGTCGGCGACGATTCCTGGGGCTCGTTAGGCGGCGATGTGGGTGTGATTTGTGTTGCCGAGTCGCGTCTTCCTGTTCCTGTGAGAGTTCTTTTTTTATGAATATTGCAGAGAAAAATATATGGGAGAGAGTATAATAACTAGGAGAATTTTGTGGTTGATTCAACAATAAGTCAAGGTTTACAAGGTTTATTAAGTTTCATAAGTAGTTGTTGAGTTGAAAATTTTGGTTTGAAAATGTCTTCGACAAAGATTTTTAGTTGGATAGTAAGGGTTCTTTTTTTTAAATTAGTGGGTGAACTTAAGTTTCTAGACTTAGTCTTCTAAGATCAAGAATAAAATAATAACAAATTTCCCTTCCACATTTACCCTCGACGTTCATTATCTACAACCCATGACTTTATTCCAAATGTACCTCAGCTACTACCCCTTGAAAGTTTATCCACCAGTACACTGTCCACCTGAACACCCTACATATGTAGATATCATCAACCCAGAAGTTGGTTTATGAGCAGGTTGACCCAGGTGTTTAAAAGAGCTAGGAGTCCAATTAGTCAGAACATAAAAATGACCACCTAGTCCCACATATTTTCAGTGGTAGAACTTGACTCGAGCAGCACATCTATTACATCAAAAACAAATCCTCAAACGTCTCCTATACATCGTAATTCTTATTTGCTGAAATCTAACGCTGCAAATGTTCTTTGAAGTGTAACCTTGAAATCACTATGGAGATAGAGTCTCCTTTAAGTCACCTAATGATAGAGATGAGTACTTACCCAAACGTTGCCTGAGAGTCGACTCCTCGACCTGTTCCCTCATAAGATCGTCCCAGCCATTGCCTCCTTGCCATTCCAAGCCGACCTGATGACTCAGGATCGGCAGGTTACACACGAAGCAGATCGCTGTCATGGTCCTGAAATCCAAACGCTTGGTCTCGGCTTGAGCAGACGATTACGAGCCGCCGATCTGTCATCGGCCAATAGATAAACAGATTGTGTGACTCAATTCGAAAAAGGGTGCAACGTGTCAACGATCAATTTAGGTGAATCGAGGCCATGCCAACAGAACACTCGAAAAGTCAAACGCACACTCGATCGAAGTCGTGGTTTCTTCGCTACCTTTTCTACAGATTCCAACTCTACTGGTTTTCCATGCTTTGCCAGTTGCTAAACGCACTTGGATAATGGAAGTACGATCGTGTGTTGAAGCTTCTTCGGTTCACTTTCTAATAGACTACATACTGCGGTTAGGATACTACTTTCTTCTTGTACGGGAAGCTGGTACTTTCTCAAAACATAAAATGTCTGAATAAAAATTGATGTCCTTTAACGTTGTCTAAAGTGAATTCATTAAATGAAACTGATTTTCAATCTTGAAAAATGTACACATATGTTCATTAATAAATTTCAATCTTGTAAAATGTACACATATGTTCATTAATAAATTTCAACCTTGAAAAATGTACACATATGTTCATTAATAAAATTCAATCTTAAAAAATGTACACATATGTTCATTAATAAAGTTCAACCTTGAAAAATGTACACATATGTTCATTAATAAATTTCAATCTTGAGAAGTGTACACATATGTTCATTAATAAATTTCAACCTTAAAAAATGTACACATATGTTCATTAATAAATTTCAACCTTGTGAAGTGTACACATATGTTCATTAATAAATTTCAACCTTAAAAAATGTACACATATGTTCATTAATAAATTTCAACCTTAAAAAATGTACACATATGTTCATTAATAAATTTCAACCTTGAAAAATGTACACGATGTTCATTAATAAACTTCAACCTTTAATAATGCATACAGATGTTCATTAATAAAGAATGTATAAATATATTCATTAATAAACTTCAACTTTAAAGAATATATAAAAATGTTCATTAATAATCTTCAACCTTGAAAGACATACAAATATTGATCACCAAACATGAAACAAAAATGGAACAGAGAGTATACACACCTTAGAATGTATCAGATTTTGATCAGCTTCCCGTACAATCGAGACTACCGTTCGACAGCGTGTGGTAGTTCTACCATTCGCGTCACAAGTACAAGTGGTAAAGCGGAAGCGGATATCAGACGTAGTAGGAGCGTGTAAATTCGCAAGCTCCTGGCTGTCGAGCTTTCGACGCTACGAAACCACGCTTCTCTACGTCCACCCACACCCACCCACTCGCATGGTGCGTGGGTGTGACGAGAAACGCTCAGAAACGATAGTAAACGATCGGTAAATGGAGCAACGTTTCGCACATTATATGTATATATATGTATGTATACATATACATACATGTGTATACTAGAGGCACAGAGAACGCAGGTGTGGCTACAGAGAATTGACGAAATCAGAGTTACAAAAGCGTGGATGCAGCGAGACAATTGGATCGTTCTACTATGTACAGGGTGATATCAACAAATTATTCCTTTTAATTGCAATTAGAAAGTTTAGTGGAAGTCGGTGAAAGTGTATTCAATTTTTAATTACTTGTTTTTTAAAAATTACTGATATTAATTTTTATGTAATTGACAAGGAGATATATGTGATGAGAACATGTGAGGATATTATATTTGGCAACATTGTATGCTTGACAATATAATTACTGGAAGATGTAATTTTATTTGACAACGTTGTAATTGTATTCAACAGGTAATTATATGTGACAATGTAATTATATTTGACAACAGTGTAATACATGCCCGTGCATTTAAAATGCATATGCACACACATGTACTGTATGACCTTTTAACTGAAACATGTTATATTAAAATTTTTTACTGAGATGGTACATTTTTCTAGACATGTATTGATTCCTCCTGGTATTCTGTTTAAAAAAGCAGAGAGGTACAACATCAAAAATATCAGTAGTTCTCAAGATATTTTAAAGTGAACAGTAAGGGTGAAATCTTGTGAACTGATGACTTTTTTCATACCGTACCTCAATACTCTTTTAAACAGAATTTAATAATATGAACCATTCACCTATTTCCTCTAAGTAATTTTAATTGCAATTAGAAAGTGCGATTTGTTGAAACTGACCACTCTGTACAGGTGTATTCAAAAACAGGCTGTGGTAGTACAATGTCTGAAACGGATTACGAAATTGGTTGGAAATGTGGAAGACATTTTTTATTATTGTCCTTTTCATTCAAATCAAGTTTCATCATTTTCCTAATTTTCATTCGATAATTTAAGTAACGTAGAATAAAAATATAAAATAAGTCTTCAATATTTCCAACCCCGTTTCAGACAAGTATCCTGCCACACCCTGCGTTAACTATCACAAAACTATAAATACCAAACGAAAAACGAACGGAAGAAAGAAACAAAGCAAGAAAGATAGATCATAGAGTGTTAGAAGTATATCGCGTGTCTGTCCTCATAGTATTCAACGCATAATAAAAAACTCTGAAAAACTGTTCTCAGAATATAAGGCAAATAGAATCTGATCAGATGTTTCGACCTGTAATGTCGAAGTCTGGGGTTCTGCAACGACATCGCATGGCAAGGGCCTGGCCGACCTGCAAAAGATACACACACACACTATGTTTTCTTCCTTTCACCCCCGGCCAAATATGGAGGGTGGTTTACTCGAAATGGAGAGAATTTCGATGATGCAGCCTGAAAATCTCATCCACTCATAATCCCGTGAGCTCCGAATCGATTCGATCCGCAACACCCCCTCTTTTTCTAAATAAAACCATTTCAACGATAATTCAGTACACGATTTAATTTCTTTGGTTTAATTAGCCTAACTAACGGGGACTTAAACCCTCTGGAGCAAGAATATATTTCCAACCCCCTGGAGAATTTTAGCGAAGAGTGTTTGCGAAATTCAATGCAAACGATTAAGGGTTTGATTTCGATGACGCTGTTTCTTGATGAACCTGAAGAGACGAGGAAAAACAAGCGATCAAACGCACTTATTTTACTGTTTACTGCTTTTTTATAGGAATTATATTTGGAATATACAGTGGAGTTGAAATTCGAATGCATATTTTATTAATGAGTCGAGATATTCTGCGAAATTAATCAGCTAAGAAGATAATAGTCAGTGCTTTTGTTCGAGGAACAATTTTCGAGAAGTATGCCTAGACTGCTATTAGTAGATTGCTCTGTAAGTAGATTAAACTTTGAATGCACCGTTTATTAATTAGATGTTTGGTAAGAACATTTTAATTCTGAAAATATTCATTTGCATGAATTTATATAATTAGCAATTTTGTAATTTATCATTGCAATTATATTTACAATATTTTTATTTGAATTTATTATTCAACTATTTATATATATTATTTTTAATTGTTTGTAATTTTTGAACGTTATTCTACAAGTTTATTTTGAATAATTTTTATGTAAATTATTATAGTATGAGTTTGTACAATTATCAATATTGTAATTCATTATTGCTATTTTATTTGCAATTTTTTTATTTGAATTTATTATTTAACTATGTATATATACTATTTTTAATTGTTTATAATTTTTGAACGTTATTTTACAAGTTTGTTTTGAATAATTTTTATATAAATTATTGCAGTATGAATTTATACAATTAGCAATTTTGTAATTTATTATTGCAATTATATTTGCAATTTTTTTATATGAATTTACTATTTAACTATGTATACATATTATTCATAATTTTTTAACATTATTATACAAATTTATTTTGAATAACTTTTACATAAATTATTATAGTATGAAATTATACAATTAGCAATATTATTGCAATTATTTTAACAATTTTTTTATTTGAATTTATTATTTAACTATGTATACATATAATTCATAATTTATGAAAATTATTTCACAAGTTTATTTTGAATAATTTTTACACAAATTATTATTCTGACATTGATAATAAATTTAACAATTTGATTACATTTTAAAAATATTCTTAAAGTCCCAAACCATAAATAAAACTTGAAACGTAAAAATTATGTGAATTAAAACGAAATTGCGAAAGACATAAAATGTGATAATCTAGGTGATAATTTGTGAACGTCATTTTATTCTCCGCATGGCTCATGTATATTTCCCGGTCGTAATTGCAAATTTCATTAATCATATTCAGCTCATTTCATTAATCGTATTTATTCATGCCATAGAAATCGCCTGATTTCCAACTATATCGTAACTCGTAGCGGATTCCCGGGCATAAAACACGGATATTTACCCCAAAAACCGCAGCGGCGATATTCGATCATCAAACGCAAAGCTATTTCATGAAAATCAACATCTAATATTCCGTTTCAAATATCGACAATGCAAATACAGCGGTGAAATAAACATAAAACGCTAATGTTACGTTTCTACGTCCATTACGCAGCGCGTACCAATCGAAATAAACAATTTCTATCGAGGGATTATCGATCGTTGCTTAACAATATCCATTATCCGTTGTTTATATTCGCCTGAAATTGGCTGACGTTTTGAGAATTACTGCCGTGTAAACAATTATTTCGATGATTGTGTTGAATGATTAAATATTAACTATTGCACGGGGCCGCCATTTTGTTCTCATTTCTTTGTAACCTCAGGTTATGTCGATTACCGCTCGAATTTAATTGATGTATTAATTTTTAATTGCGATGTTTACACATTGCAGGAGTAATTTAATTTGGACGCGAGGAAAATGTAATTTGGAGAATTTAATTTTGACGGTAATAATTATTGTGAAATGAGGGTAGTTGAAATAGGTTAGGTTGGGTTAAATGGTGGTAGTCTTTTGGGATATTATTTTTTGCGGTAATAATAGTTAGTAGATGGAGGAGGGTCAAAGTGAATTTAATACAAAGTTAATTATTTTATTTCTCAAGTTTTGGTGACAATAATTTCGAAGCTAAGGGTGGTAATCCCTAGATCCCGAAATCCTTAGATCCCCAAATCCTTA